TTTTGAATTACTTCTCCTAATTTTACATAGCTTTATTTATTCATATATTGTAGAATTTTACTCTACATTTCCTGAGGATGTTTTTAATACTATATATATATATTAAAATTTAATCTGATTTAGTTTGATTGGCTATTAAAAACATTGTGGTTTGTTCCTGCTATTCCATAAAAAAGATTTAGTTAAAAAAATTAGTGTTATATATCATAAATGCGTTCAAATAATAAAATAATAATAATAATAATAATAATTATAATAATAAAACAATAGAAAAACATACAAGCTGTCCAACCTCTAAATCTGATTATTTTGATACTATGTACTTATGCCTGCCAATTCCATGACTGCAAAAATCAAGTACATGAAAAACTTTTGAAACGTGTAAAGTGACTTTTACAGAAAAAATTTCGCATATCTGAATGTTTTGAAAGAATTACACGAAGAAAACCCTTATCATTAAACATAATGTATATAAAATAACAAAATGAAATTAATTCAAGATATTAAAAATATTTTCCCCTATAAATTAATTCTGAAACCATGCTTAATAACATTAACTAGTTTGTTTGAATTTCAAAATTAAGTTATCAGAAAACTTCCAAAATAATGATTAGACAGTTTAAAACATGACAAAAGCAAAACGAGAGGGGAAAGGAAGTTTCACTTTAACGTTATTTTTTCTAAAGAACTAAACTTTTATCTTATCGCATCACTTAGGATAAGGTTCCAAAGGCATTTTGTGCAATGGGGGGAAATCTTATCGCTATTTTAATGATGTAATAAAATTATCATATAAGTTAAGAGATCGTCATGAAATTCGCAAATGAGTGAATCAAATTTTTGGACATAAACTGGTCTTTAAAATCGCCAAAATGCTCATGATTCGTCAATCTTCACAGCGCACAACAAAAATAACTTTGAAATACATATTTCAATATCTCTAAAATATTCTCATAAAGAAAAAAATTAATAGTTAAATTTATAAAAATATACGTAAACACTAATTAAGTAAGAAACACAAGGCGTCAATAATGGCCGCTGCACATAGGCAGGGTTTTTCCGAAATGCGAATGCAGCTGAAAGCACAACTTATTAAAATAACGACAAATACACCTGTTTTTTCGGGGAGGGGGGAATCCACCATGAAGAAAGTGACTGTTTTTATTGAAATTAAACATGTGTAAATCTTGTACACAGATAATGAAATGATTGAAACGTCAAGGCCATAAGGGCACATCAGTGGTTAGCAATTGCACATTGAGCGTTCAACTCTGGCGGTGACGCATGACTGTAAACGTTGAGGCAAGGAGTGATAAAGATTCCTAATCTCACCCTCCTATATATTCCGCCTGGACCTTGAAAGATTTGTTGCACATGCGAGATGAAGTTCTCCACTTCCAATGGGAAAGCGCCAACAGAAAGTACTAAGGTAGCAACTTCTATCTACTACTAAGATTTCGAAGCCTTGTGTTCTTTCAAAACATCGATATAGTGCTACTTAAATTTCTTCTGGAACCAGAAAAAAATTTAAAGCAAAAGAGTGATGCAAATCCTGTGATGAAGGATGGAATGGACCACAAATACATTATGAAAAAGATGACACTGCTCTACTGCAGAAGCACCTTCTGAAAAAGTCGCTGCGGATATTTCTCAGATCATTATTCCTGCCTAATGACCAAATCTAGCTGTTGCGGTCTATTTCAATATGTGGCGGACGCTTATCCCATACCTGAGCTTCGAATGATAAGAGAAATTCTCGTACAAAACTGGATTTTGCAGTTTAGAGTGTTCTTGTTTTATTCATTTTAATCAGCGAGTGAATTTTACCTCTGCCGCATATTAAAGACCGAGGGAAATTCTCGGCGCAGAAAAAAATCAGTTTCTTTGCACCTACAATCGGATATTTTCAATTACAAGATCCTGGATCATATTTCTTTCATATTATACAGCCATTAAGATCGGAACAAAAAATTATCTTTGTTCCTTTCAGCATAAAGGAATGCAATACACGAGAGTACTTATTTTCAAATTTAGATATCTTTGACGACCTCTGTGCGACCGCCGAATGCACATTCTTCGTTAGAGTATTATACACTGATTTCCAAAAATTAAGGAAAAATCATAAAAATAGTGACAACTCGTTCAAAAATAAGCCAATCCGTATAAAATTTGAATATGTTGTCATATAAGAGTTGCTCAGTAAAGTGCAGCATGCAAATTAGTGGCGCTGCAATCGGAATAAGTCATCTGAGAGGAGCATGTTTCAGAGGAAGCCTGCAAATTTCGCTGTTATACTGAGATAAGAAATCTGGAATAGCCAATTTGTAACAATGACCTCCAGGCATCATTTGCCCGAAGAACTGCGATGGAGAACTATTGGTAGACTAGAGGCAAGACTAAGTCAGTCAGAAGTGGGCAGATAGCTAAATGTGAGGCCTTCAGTGGTTCATACACATTCAACAATTTCTAATTCTAGATTTGACATCCAGGAGGTTCAGCCAAGGACCGTCAGCCGCTACAAGCGCTGATGACTAATATTTGTCGTCATGTGCACGAAGGAATAGAACCTTAACACGGATCCTCCGGTGCATTTGGAACCAGTATTTAACTAGTGTATTTTGAATACGTACAGGCAGGATGTCCGTCGAATAATAGTATTTGATACTTTTCTCGAAGCACAATCTTTGACATTTAATTATATTTTTATAGCATTTTATGAACAATTTAAAAACCCGAAATTTGTCTGTTTATGACATCTCCTTTAGCACTGCGCGCATCGTGCTTTTTACTTTCTTATCTGAAGAGAACCTCTTTTCATACAGTTGCTTTTACAGTTTTCTGAATGCTCAGTAAATCAAAAGGCTCTGAATCCGCGCATAGGAGAATATTTCTATCAATTTTAGACACAAAACCAATGCCAAAATAGCAATAGAGGGTCAAGCATTATCCATGATGCAAAAATCACAGTTTATTGAAGATTGCCAGTCTTTTCTTTCTCGTAGCTCCACGCTAAGGAATTTTGAGAATACTTGCATAATAAGCACCGTTCACTGCGTGCACATTTACTGTCAATGTTAACATTCTTAATCGCAATAGATGGTCTGCTACAATGCGCTTCGTCGATCGCTAGCATGTTGAGTTCTCGAAGAATAGCCAGGACAAACCATACTACATGCTTTTACTCATTCTGACAGTGTTAGCATCATGAATGCCTAGCTGAAGCTTCACGCAAGTCGATGATAATCTTCACAAAACCCAGTTAGTCTCGCCTAACAACTGGAACGAGAAAAAAGGTAGTCTTAAAACTTTTCAGTCAGCTTATGTACTAAAAAGTATTATGCGACTAAAATCACTGGAGCATGGAAGCCCATTTTAATTAGATTCCTTTTTGAAAGTAGAACCATGAGTTCACGAGCAGTCATTCAAGACATATTTATTCCTGAAAATTTGTGAAACGCTCTGTTTACTTATTTACCTTACTTTTCAATATACCCGTCTAACTACATTTTCATGTCAGCGCACACGACATTTGATATTTCTAAACACAGCATAACTTATAATGTCTTCTTATACGAATTTTACAAATTAAAAGGTAGAATAACTACCACTTAAAAAAGAAAAAAGAAAAAGGTAGAAAGCATATTACCGCAAGAAATAAAAAGATAAAGAGAGGTGTCAAAGTTAATTTTGGCATATTTTCGATTATTCGAGAACCTTCGTTAATCCCTTTAAGTTAGAATTAACGATAGTCTAGTATCTTAAAGTTGAAACAGCAGCAAAAACCAAAATTGTAAGATCTGCTATATTTTCTGAAATAAACAAAGTTTGTTAATATTTTAAATACTTTAGTTTATATGATGCCTTTAGGAGAGCTTGGAGTTTCAGAAATATGCATATTCGATTATGAATAATATGCAGATACTAAATAAATGAGTAACTAAAAATTAAAAGAATGCAAGTATGAATTTGTATTAAACAAAATTTACTCCTAAAGACCACTGTTCTTGCAGGTTGACATTATAGCATTTCTGAAATAGTCCTTCTCCAGAAATACTGTAATATCTACAAGAGGCTAAATGGCTTCTAAAAAGGAGACTAATTTAAAAACAAGTTATACACATTTTGTATGGGATGAGAGAAATTAGGAAGTGCAATGAACGAAACTTAAGCACGTTTTCCTCTCCAAAATATTACTTAATAAACAGGAAAAAAAAAAAAAAAAAAAAAAAGTAACTCATTTTGCCGATTTTCGAAGAAATATATAACTTGCATTAACTTAAAATAACAAATTCTTCAAACTGAATTTATTTATCTTTCTTAACAAATTTCACGTAATCTTTTGATTTAATGAATTAAGAGTTTTTAGAAGTAGAATAAATTCAAGCTTCATTTATAAATATTCTGAATCGATAAAACAGGGCATTTCAGCAGAGGAAACGACTGCAGATGTTGAATAAGCATCTGAATAAATACAGATAAATAAGCAGAAATTCCCACAGCTTTCGCGATCCAAAGAGCTTTCGTTTCTGTGTCTGTCTTGAATTTGAGTAAACACACACCTTGATAAGTAAACGAAAGCAGCAGCCGTTGGCGTGAGCGAACAAATACGTCTAGTTATATTTAATATAAAACTCGATGTCATCGAATTATCCACTGCAAGTTAAGATTTACAATATCGTAAATTATAATATAGTCTTCCATAACACCTTGCCACCCGTTGATTAAATAAGAAATTTTCTCTTTCGGCGAACAATGTGTTAAACAAAAAGAAAAACGGCACTGTTCCCAGCATGAAGATTTAACTATGAAAATAAATCGGAGTCGTGTAGGCATAAAATGCTGCCCACAATATTTATAGCAATAAAATAGAAATATCCATTCAGCTATTTAAAGAACAAAACCTAAAAAAAAAAAAAAAACATTTAAAAAAAATTTCAAAATATATGTTATATATATTTATACAAGCTTCGAAAGCGATATGTCAATGTTTAAAATCTTACCCTTAAAGCATTAGTTTCTCCAACAGGATCAAATGCATCCACAATCTCTTTCCAGACTTCTCTCCAACCATGAACTTTCACATGTCCCCAAAGTTCCTTCATCACAGTCACAAATTCTCTCCATATAGGGCTTTTGAAAAAGTGTTTGGCAGCATCTCTGCATTTTACAGACTCTTGATCTTGATAAGTTATGTGGCAATTAAAATACAACAAAGAGCCCCAAAGAGACACATATAATATGCCGCAAAAGGTAAAGAACGCCAATCTGCGGAAAAAAGATTTGCGAGGCTTCGGTGTTCGTCGCCATCTCTTAGAAAACCTATTAAAAAACGTTGAGGACGCAGTAGAAGATATAAGTATGGGAGATTCCAACCAAAAGTATACAGGTATTGTCAGGTAAGCTCCTGCTAGCGCACTTCGAAGAGATCCCTCATGGCGGCCAATATTTCCAACTAGATAAACACCTACGGCAAAAAACAAAATATACTTCAAGGAAATGTTGAATAAAAATATTTATGTATTTTCTATTTTTATATATTTTTTATTTACATAATTTGCGGATAATGTTAATTTCAAAGTAGCGGGACATCTAAAACTACGATACATACTTATGAAAATATTAAAACGGACATATTACATATCGCTATCGAAGAGATACATTTATTGCTCAGCACGTCCAGGGAAAAACTTCAAAATACGAAAATGCATACATTCATAGAACATCATGCTGATGTGAGGTTGTGTCTGACGTTATTTGAATTATTTCTTATGCTTTTTTAGATTTTCAGAAGTTTAATTTATTTAACATATCAAAATTTGAAATCCTGCTTTAAGGAAAGTGTTTTCTATCTGAGCTGACATTTTGTACGGAAAAACGTACCCCTAAGATCCGTAACATCCTATACTATTACACTGTATAATAACGTACGAAGAGTTGAAATACTTCTGGAAGATTAGAAATAATCAAATAGATACCATAGCAATTAATATTTAAAGATAATTATCATTCGTTACTTAATATTTAAAGATAATTAAGATTTATTTTATAAATAAAGATTAATATTTAAAGATAATTATCAGTACTAATGAAAAGTGAATATGCGAATTAACAGCCCCGCATTAATGTCACCAGGTTCTCATAATTATTTAACTAAAACAGAAAATGTAAATCACTCAGTACACACCATGCTCACGCATAATATACAGTAAAAATTCTTAAATTTAAAAAAAAAAAAAAATTCTTAAAAAATATTCAGAAAGTTTAAGGATTCAATGTAACGACAAAGGATAGAAACAAATTAACCTGCACAATAAAACATTTAGACAATCTTTTCATGCAGTTTACAGGTAGCAAACGCATAAACTATCATAACAGTGAACAAAATAAGACATTAAATCAATATTTCAGTTTAACAAAATAAGTTTATCTAAGACCAGCATGACAAAATGATCTTTCTCCTGTGTCTGCACAACATAATATTTCGAATTTAGACAAAAATTCTTCTTTTGAGAATCATCATAGTAAATTTTTTAACAAATTCCAATCTATTTTGTAGCCTTAAAATCAAGATTTGGAGCAACCTAGACAGAAATTTGAATTTTAAGAAGATACAAACAAAAGACAGTAAACTTTTACACCAATTTCCAGATAGATTTTTTAAAATTTTTGAACGAAATATCATAATTGTCAAACGAAACATCCACAAATTCATGAATACAAAAGATAAACAAATAAGAACAGATGCAAAAGTAAAATTACGTAATCTATTACATTTTAAATTTAATTGAGAAGCAAAAAATACGAAGTGAAGAATTTCGTCAAATCAGCTGCATACACAGTACGACAAAGTTGGGTGAATTAGTTAATAAACAAAATATTCTTATTTAAATAAGAAAAAACATTTTATATTTCTTTAAAATAATGCCCATCGTTTGCAGCGCAATTTTAAAAACTGTCCAGATCCTGAAAACTGCGGGCAAAGTCCTCTTTAAGTATTGCACGAAGACTAGACATATGACTTTGAAAGCCATCAATATCCGAAAATCGTTCTCATTTTAAGGCTCATTTCAGGTTCGTGAACGGATGGAAGTCTGCTGAAGCAAGACCAGGTAGTACGGTGGCTGATTGAGAAGTCTTTTCTACAGGCCATAAACTGCTTCACGACGAAAGCCCAGTGTGGTCATACATTATTAAAGAAAGAAAAAAAAAAAAAAAAAAAAAAAAAAAGAACCAAGGGCTCGCTTTGACGTTTTCTGGATGTATACGATAGATCCTTTGTAATAAATTTACCAGAACACCCTTAAACGTGCTAGCATTCATCGCCGCTCTTTCCGGCTAACGCTTTCTTCACATTCAGTAGTTTCGTCCATACAAGAAGCTGTAGGCCTACCACTTCAAGTAGCGTCTTTAGTGGAATCCCACCCCGTTTGAACCATCCATGAAAGCACTTAAAAGACACAGCTTCATCTCCGTCATCTTGTTTCATCATATCACGACTTTTTTCCACAGATTTACCAAGTCTGAAACCGAACTTTAAATTTTTCCTCTGCTTCAGGATTAGTGTCTTACTAACAGAAATTCATAATGCTTATTAGTATGCGGCGCTAAGACATGTTCAAACACGTCATAAAATACCTTTTCCTTACTTCGCCGTTTGCCCACTACCCCGCGTGCGCATCCTATGACGTCGTTCACCGAACTTTACTATCATGTCTTCTTATATTAAACTGGTAATATAAAAATAGAGATTATACACCACACAGTTGGTTATGTATTATTAACAATTTCTTCGCTTGTAAAATTCGATTTTTTTTTTTTCAATTATTGCACCATTTTGGGAGAATTCCAATCTAAAAGTACCAACTAAAATACGAGTGATAATATAACTGCTTAACGTGAACAGCTGTAAGCTCAGTTATCTTTTCAAGTTATCTCAGTTAACTGCCTGAAGTGATAATAATGAAATACTAGTCTCTTAAGTGTCTGAAGTACATAAAATGATAAAAATGAAGAGAAAGATGCATACGAATGGAACAGAAAGTACTCACAAGCAAAGTGACCACTTTTTTCTCGTATGAAACAACATACATTAAAATATGTTCGTTTGTTAGCCAAGCAAACTAAAAATGATGACAGCATTCTGCAGCCGTTATTCGGAAAATATTTGGGAACAGTACGGAGTCAAATGTTTGAGATTTACCAAAATGGCAGTTTACGACATAGAAAGAAATTAGATTGCATTAAGGATTTAAAAAAAAAAAAAAAAAAAAAAAAAAAAAGTATAATAATAATAAGATATTTTTGTTGGTGATAAACTCGTTTTAATGTATGTAGTTTTCGATTTATATGAACTGAGTGCCACGATGAAGCATTTTCGAAAGTTTAACGTTTATGATTCTAGGTTAAAATCTAAATGAAATGCTAATGGATGGTTCACTATACTCTGAATACCCTTGTTTTACATAACGTGAATGTGCCTTTAATAGTAAACAATACACCTTTTCAGTAAGCTTAACGATTTTAGTTGAAATTTAAAATTAAGTAGTTTTAGATTAATCATAAGTTTCAAATTACTTAACATTATTTCTTATATATCTCTCTAGCTACCTTTCGCCAAATATTTATAAAAATTCTTCAAAGTTATGTTCAAAATCGGTATTTGTATTCCACACAATTTAATAACTGCAGCAGGCTGTCTTTATTCTAAAGTATAGTGAGAATGAATATCGCTTTTTGAATCGCAAGCATACGTTTAAAACAACTGCTTTTCCTATAGTATCATAATGAATAAACCCTTTAAAGCTATAGAATTAAAAAACAGATTTTAAATAAATACTACACCACTGATATAAATTTCAGTTTCCAACATGATTACAAACCCATAAAACTGTACTAAAATTTGAAACTACCAGTGGAAATATACTACTACTGGGAAAGACAATTAAATTTGAAATAAAAAGGTGCAATGGAGAGGGGAAAAAAAATTGATTTCGTCACTAGCGCAAACAATTTCTCATTTGAGAAAAAAAATGGAACGTAAGTGTCGAAAATTTAAAATTCGATTATTTTATAAAATATTTCGGCAAAATTATGGTGTATTACCATAAACTATTTCCGAATTTAATTCATTTAATTCATTTTTTCAACGCCTGCTGGTCTTAGAAAAAACTTGCTTTGCTTAGATAACACTTTATCGACGTGGTCTTTTTAATATTATGAAATAGTCATTATTTCCTAATTTTAGGCCATTTGCCTTTGAAAGTATCTTTCATTTTGGGCTGCAGCTTTCCATTTTCAACATAAGTAACTTGGTTTCTTTTCTTCCTTGAGTTTTGCTTTTGTGATTTAATTGCTTTTGTTCTATAGCAGGTTTTTACTGCACTTAATCTGAACAATGCCATGTGGATAGATTCTCGGTTTTTGTAGCACTTTCCTGGTCATTAATCTCACGAAAGAATTCTCAGTCTCTCATTTATTATAATTTTTTATTAAATTAATACTTTTTCTTAATTTAAACCTTTTTCCTGCTTAAATATTTCAAAATATACTACTTTAAAAAAAAAATTACTTTCGTATCATAAAGTCTTGACTTTGTCGAGTCATTAGGTTATTTTGAAGCTGGAGAGTGAAAAATGTGTAATACCCTTGCCGGGACTCGAAGCTGGACCTCTCGAATACGCTCCGGGTGAGCTACCATTACACCACGAAGGCATGCTGGAAGGAGAAAATACCTTATATACTCCCCCTTTTAAAAGACGACTTGAGATTAGGGAACCCAGGCACAAATCCTGGTGGTGACGAATTATTGACCACCACCTATTAGTTCGAGCGCCACTGTAGAGTCACTAGTTATTTTGAAGCTAGAGAGTGAAAAATGTGCAATGCCCTTGACGGAATTGGAACTTGGGATCGCTCGAATACGCGCCGATTGTGCTACGTTACACCACGAAGGCATGTTAAAGAAGGGATAAAATACTTATAACTTTAGAAAGGATTGTTTTTGATTTCTAAAATTTTTTGGCAGTTTTTCTAAATATTGATTTAGTTTTTTGCTTCTAATTAACCAATTCTTTATCTAGTTTCGAGAATTCTTGTTTTGTACTGTAAGTTTTGTACAGTATTTTTAGTTTTAGATTACGTCGGAGCAGATTATATCTTGATTTATTTAAAAGATTAAAAAAATATATTTTTTATTTTATTGCATTCTTCATTTGCATTACTTATTTTTTTTAAATAATGTCCTTTTATTTTTATTAATTGATTTGACAACACTTTCGATTTATAATCATCCAGATACATTTCATAAACGTAGCTCTATTAAAAAATTTTCGGCTTCTTGAAAAAGACCAACGAATTCTCAACTATTTCTTTAATTGTAGTTTTAATTTAACACACACAATACATTTTCAGTGGGAATATTAAGTTTTAGCAAAACCGCTACTGGCCTGCCACGTCTTTAAAGCA